CCGGGCCGCGAGCAGCCGGGTCGTCTTCCTGAGCCGCGGGCGCGGGCGGTCCCGACTCCGCGCCTCCGGGGAGAGAGGCCAGCGGGCCCGCATCCTGTCAGTGAGGCTTGAGTCCGGGCTGCCGCAGCCGCCTCCCTCTGGTGCCTGCGCCGCCCTGACGATCCGCGGCCGGGGCACGGCGGACTGAGCGGCCCGGGGAGCCGAGGCCGCTGGAGACGGGGGCGGCGGCGCGCGTTTGGGGTCTGCTGGAGCCGGAGGAGTCTGAGGGACCATGTCCGGGAGGAACCTCCACCTCTCCACCACCGAACGCGTCATTAAAGGTGCCAAGCGGGCCGGGCCTTCCTCGTCTACCGGAGAGCGTGTCGGGGCCGGAGGGAGGGAGCCGAGGCGGGGAGGCAGGAGGGCGGCAGGGGACCCAGGCTGCGCCCATCCCGGAGGAGGACCTGGTGGGGATGTGGGAGAGGCGGGTGTGGGAGAAGGAGCGCGGGGATCCCACGAGGGCTGCCCGCGGGGGCCCCGGGCGTCTTCTGTTGCGCCTAGACCCATAGCTAGCTGGAGATGGCTAATGTACCTCCCACCGTGGCGGACTTGAAGGTGAGGTGGGGGTTTCTTTATCCCCCATCCCAAAAAGGCCTGGATCCTTATCTTTTTAAAAGAAATGATTCCTCCTTTGAAGTCTGTTATCTGGGGAAGCCATCTAGGATGATGTGGGCAGGGAGTTGAGTAGACTCTGAAGTCAGATCTTTCTGCCGCTCCCCTTCTTTAGGATCAGATCTTTCTCGCCCCTCCCCCACTGTTTTCTAGGACATATACCATGTACCTTTGGCCCACTTTCTCCAGATCATCACAAGCCACTGCTATTATTAAAAGAAACGATATGGTGAAACAGATACAAATAAATCCATTTTATGATGGGATTTACAGATCTCTTGACATGATGCTGGTGTTTTATTTTCCTTTCGGCCATAGAGCCTTGGAGAATGATGTTCTCTGATTCAGATGTCCAACGTAAACTAAAGTGTTCCTTACTAATACCTATAGGGTTTTACATTGTAGTTGTTTCTGCCCTTAGACTAGGAATACCGGTTTAAACATAACCACTAATTTATGTGCTTCTTTTGTTCAGCCATAAGACTTAAGTACAACTCTTGTGTCTGAGTGTTAACAATTGGTTTGAAAGCAGTATTTTATAAGAAGGGAATATACCTAGACCAGCTGTGTTAGTGGCCTCTGAATAAAGGGATTACCTGTAAGTGGGGAAAACCATTAAAATACTTTTATTTTTTCATTTTGGTAATTAGAACGAGAAAGGAAACTAAGATTGGTGACAAGAATACATTGTTTTTAAGTGGAAATCCTATTGAGTGGTCAATGAAGGGGGGGAATTTTAGAGTTTAACTTAGATATTTTCCCCCTAAAAATATCAAGCATCATAAATGTTGATTGCACTATGTAATTTTAGTGTGTAACTTAGTTTTTCCCCTTTAAAAAGTCAGCATCATAATTGTTGATTGTAAATGTTGATTACACCATATAATATTTAGTAAATATACATAATGGGCTTTTTGAGCTTTTTGTCTGATATCATTAGAGATTTAAGTGAATTGCTTGTATAACTGACTTAGCCCTTTAACTGATAAATTATTTGGACAATTTTAATGTTAGTCTTTATGTACATAACACATAAAAGTACATAACCCTCTCAAGATTCAGAATACGCTAAACATAACCTTTTTTAATAAATCAAGGTCATCATTATGTACATTAATTTCTGTCCTGTGCTGTTAATATGGCCGGTGCATTCTGCTGTATGAGGGTGTTGGCAGTTTCCTCCTGTACTAAAATGACTCCTCATTGCTATACCAGTTTAGTGCTTTTGTCTGTTTTTAGTTTATCTCCTCCAGTACTGTTCTCTATCTGTCAAAATATGTCCTTCTAATCTGCCACTTCTAACTGAAATAGGCAGGGAAACCAGATAAACCAGAACTGTGTGTCAAGTCAGAATAAATAGGATCTGAGTGAGGCTTAGTGGCAGTCCTCAGACCTTCACGAATCTCAAATTCTGATCGCCATTGTAGCATGTAATTTCCACTGTAACATGCCATAAGATATAAAGGAAATTTTAAAATGACCCTTTCAGACCCTTAAATATAGAAGTAAAGTAAAATAAAACGTGGTTAAAATACAGGTGCTAGCTTATTGCTAAGCATGCCCACAGTTAAGTGAATACCTTCATAGTCTGTATGACTGAAATTTTTTTTTGGACGAAATTATAAATTACTGCATGTTTTTTACTTAAAAGATTACACTTAAATAAATGAAACTTAAATGATTTCAGGCCCTTAGAATGTGTGGATTTATCTCGTATATAAAAACTTGAGCATAAGAAAGAACTTTACCATAGCAATTTGGCTTCTTGGTGGCTTACGTTGCTTTTTCTCCAAGATTTCCAGAGTTAGAAATAGTTGACGTTTATTCTAAGAAAGTAAGGTGTCACTATACATATAGCTAAGGTCCATTTAGTATTGAATACTAAATCCTGATCTGATGTTATCTTGTCTGGCCAGAGTTGTCTGCATTTATTCACCAGCTGAAAATCTTTTTCAGAGGTGAGACCACACCCCAGTTATTTTTGGTTCTGTCATTTCCTTTTAACTTTAAAGTCTACTTAATTGTTTTGTTTGAGCAAATCTTGGAGAAGAGTGGGTGGGTGGAGAGAGTGATTTGTATTATAAGTGTCCTTTAGATAGCAACTTTCCTAAAAGGAAGAAGGACTAGACTGGTGGTCAGGAAACCTAGATTTTACTCCTGCTTCTGTAGCTTACTTGTGACCTTGCCTGTTTTTTCCTTAACCTTGCCTTTTTACTTAAACTCTCTCATTTTTTTTTTTGCTTCAATAGTCTCATCTACAAAATAGGTTTAATAATACCTTCTATGTCAAGCATCCAAGCCATGCAAATAACATAAGGGATGTGAAAAGCTTAAGACGGTAGTGTTATGAAACATGATCGTAGTTTGATAATAGATCACTTACTACAAAGTGATTAGTAGAGAAATCATTGACATTTGAAAAATAGCAGAATTGGTAAGTATATGAAATTATAACATAAGTTAGGAAACTGTTCCCAGTCAGGAAAATAAATACCTTTTCTACAGTATAAAGGATGTCTGGGTGGAATCCCATGGATAACAACGTGAAGAGACCGACACAGTCTGTCTAGTACTTTGCTGGCAGCTGGTTTCTTCTCTAGCAGTTGAGGGTGTTTATTTTATGTTTAAAAATATAAAAATTCTTATGATTTCCCTCATTCATTAAATGTTTATGGAGAGCCATCTGCAATGTAGCCAATAGGTGCTCATCTGTTTCTTTGTTTTAAGAGTAACATTTCTGTGAGCCTCTAGAACAGTCCGTATGCGCTGGGGCGTCACTACTGGTATCTGGAGCAGAAAAGTAAAAACTCAAATAATTGAATTGTGAAATCTGTCAGCTTGATTTTTTTTCTGGTTTCCAAGTTTCTTTTCCTGTTTGAGGGAATTTTTTTTCTTTGACAGTGATTTTTATAAAAACAGTTTATTCCTCTGGGCTGAATCTTTTCAGAAGCAACAAGAAAATTTCACTAGGAATTACATGACAGATATGGAGAATCTGTTGTCTAAATTTGTTATTTGGTGGCCGAATGGGATTTAACAGAAGAGTCAAACTTCTTTTCAGCAAGATGCTGATCTAGTTTTCCCATGCTCATGAAATTCACATATATTGTATATTCATAGAATGTACTGTGTCATTTGTAGCACACATTGGAGGCTACTGATTCTTTAATATCCTGGCACTGGGAATAGTGTGGCCATGGCTTTCTTAAAAGATTTTAAGAAGAGCGGTAAGGACAAAAATTCCTATTTCCACAAGTATACCCTGAACCCCGAGCCAGCCATGGTGGTCTAGTGGTTAAGATCAGTGTTCTCACTACCATGGCCCAAGTTTGTTTCCTGGCAAGAGAACCACACCACCTGTCTGTTGGTTGTCATACTGTGGCGGCTGCATGTTACTGTGATGCTGAAAGCTATGCCACCGGTATTTCAAACACCAGCAGGGTCACCCATGGGGACAGGTTTCAGTGGAGCTTCCAGACTAAGACAGACTAGGGAGAAGGACCTGGCCACCCACTTCTGAAATAATTGGCCATGAAAACCCTGTGAATAGCATTGGAGCATTGTCTGACATAGCCTCAGAAGATGGGAGGATGGTGTAAAAAGACTGGGTATGCTGTATACAGGGTCGCTAGAGGTCCGAATCCACTCACCAGCACTAAAAACAAACCCTGAACCTCACTTTAGTCTCTGGTACTTGTAGCTCATTTATTTCTTCAGCTCTTGTTCCCTTTCCCCCTTTCTCGTATTATGAGAATGGATTACCAAGGGATTTAAAAAAATCTTTTTTTCTTTTAAATAAGCTTAACCCTGATAATTATAAAATTTGAAAGGCAGAAGGGGAAGAAAACAAAGGCTTCATGTTCCTTCCCTCCAGAAGCAACTGCTCTTAATACTTTTCATGTATTTCCATCTGCTGGTGTATTTTGAATTCAAAGGAAAAAGAATCATATATATTAAAGCTTTTATTATGCAAATGTTTATAATAAATGCAAATATTATTTTAATATAACTATTGTAATTTTACCTAAATTCTTTCACGATGGTTTCAATCAACATGAAAAGGGTTTGAAAATGCTTATATTCATATTTTGGTCATTTATATTTTCAATCATTTGATACAATACTAACTCAGAAGAAATTTTCAAGTATAAATATTCAATGTGAACAGGTCATATAGTGCATATCTGTTATATTTGTCAACAATATTTGTTTAAGTTATGCTTAGTTTACCATTGTAATTAACAAGCTGCCAAACTATTTAAACATTGGAAATCAGTGCTATTTGAGATTCACACATCTGAGAGGAAGTCTCAGACCTTAGAAAGGACATCTTAAACACTTAATTCTTTTTTGAACAGGAATAAGGTATTCTTTTTTACCTGTATGTTAATGGTTGTGATTGAAGCCTTATTTATATCAGACATTTGGTAATAATGCTTTCTTCCATAAAGTAACATGTTATCACATTTTACTATAAAGTAAAAAAAAAATGTTATTGGATCATTTGAGAGAAAAATGCTAAGGACTCATTTCTTAAAGTGAATTAAACAATTAAAAGCCTTTTTCTAAGTAGTATTTGGTAATAGAATATCTTTCTGTTAAAGTGACATTTTGGGAAAACGCTAATTTTTAGACGCATGTCTCTGAGAGACAAAATTATTCAGCTAAT